TCCATCGGGGGTTTGGGGTTTTCGTTGTTTAGCAAGCCCCCCCCCCCCCCCCCCCCCCCTCGGTGTTTGCCATCGGGATTGGGTTTTCGTCGCTTGGCAACGACGTTGTAAAAGAAGCCAATTCACAAAGTGAACTCGGCAACCAGGTTACCGTTTTTTTTTTTGGCGGTAACCATAATGGTGGTCGAGTAGATCATGTTGTGCGGGGTGGAGAAACCTCACTCCGCGCAACGGGGGATGATCGCACCACGTTGTGTTAAAATGGTCAAGCATCCTCGAGGCAGCACAGTGTTTATAACTGTCTCTGGAAGTGAAAGCACCAGAAAATAAATCAAGTCACACGCAGGTGTCATCCGTACGCAAGGAAGTAAGCACAAGATGCCGAACACCCTTAGCAGGATGCAGCTCACCCTTCATGCGACTAGCCGAATACCTCACGGAGCTTCGCGCTTGATGATGTGAGAGCCCGGCTTTGTAAGGATGCGAGGTCAATGGTCTAACGACTACGGCATGCACGACTATGAGTACCCCCCCCCCCCCCCGTGCCCGCCCGTGGCGTTTCTAGGCGCAAGACGTACCATGCGAAGGGTTGGTGGTCGCCCACGGTCCCGGAAGAACGCACCCTTTGACGGGAACGCTGATCCCCATGTGCGTGTCGGAGGGGGACACCGTTCTGTTCTCGAGGTGGAGCGGCCGGAAGGTGAGAGGGAGGGCTGACGCAGAGTGTTGATGTACGCAGGGGTCGCGACGGTTTTCTGCAGGTGTGTATAGTGCGTGTCGTTGGTGGGGAGGGGTAAGGCGGTAGGGCACGGTGCTCTTAGCGCCCGCTGTATGTAGCGGAAGAGTCTGCAGTGACCACCCCATCTTGAGTCTCGAGGAAACAGTGCGGGAAGACGACGATCATGGGTTCGGTGAGAAAGGTACGAGGGAATTCCCGTCACACCATATATCGTGAACTTGTCCAGGTGGACCGGCTGGTGGCACGTGGGATTCCGCTCTTGCGGCGTAGAAGGAACCCCGGTTTTCGCACATGCATACCATTTTTGCCCGCAATGCAACGCGACAAAGTATGTGGCGTCTGGAGAGGCGTTTATTCACCCCGTTGCTCCGACCGTTCGAGCCACTTGTTTCCTTGCCCTGTCTTTGTCATTTCACTTCAATCCGTATGATGCACACACTAGGCATTGAACTGCGTAAGTCGTACGAATACCTGGACGGTAGTTCGGGAGAACGAACAATATTTGATGACTCCGAAACTAAATAACAGAACGATTGGTGAAATTTCATCCCGCGGCCATTTCCATGGATGTGTATCTCTGTCTCCGAGCCGTCCCATGTGGTTGCGCGTTGTTGGCACGCGGTAAGTGCTTGTCTCACGTTCGTGTGTGGCCCATGCCCCTTGTTCGGTTTGCTGGTGGAAGGTCAAATACTGCGGCGAGGACCACATGTTCATCATGGATGACGACCTCGTACTGGTCTACAGGGGGCCAGAGGTGAGCAGCAGGCTTGGTGAGGCCTGTAGGGCCAGGCGATACGAGCGCAGGCGTAGGGTACGCTGACTAGCAAGTGTTGTCGGTTGTGGCGCTACAGGAGTGTTGTGACGTCAAATCGTTGCTGGTCCCGGCATGGCATGTTCAGACCCGGAGCAGGCGGGGAGACTTGATGACGCAAAAGGATTACGCAGCCGTTTACTCCTCCCAGAGAGGGGTACGTTAGAGTAGCCGGAGTGACGTTGAACACGCTTGGCTCGTCGGAAGGGGTGATGGACCCTGCTGAAGATTTCAGGCATATACTGTACAGCGCAGAGGAAATCTGCGTCACCTGGTCCCCAATGGTGTATAGGTCGATCATCGATCTCTGTGGGGGTTTTTCTTATTTTTGGAAAGCCGTGGCAACCAATTTTAGCACAACCCTATGCGTACATATCGACAAACGTTTGTTTATTGCGCTCTTCTGTTTTCCGTTCAACGGCAGCTTAATCTACGCGGAAGCACACGAGGCGTTTGTGTCATCATTCAACACCAAGAGCAGTCAAAGCCCGTGACATGCTTTATTCATTGTCAAAGAGGGGTACGCTTTTCGTATCGTACTACGTGTACCATTTTACGCGCAATTTGGTACCTACTTGCAACATTTCTCATGTACCGTTTCTCACGCTACTACATTTTCCTCTCTCGTTTATTAACGTGTGTTTGTTTGTTTGTTTCTGCCCTTAGTTGACGGAGGACAGCCTGAAGATGGTGCGCGACCAGGTGCTGGTGGTGACCGAAAAGGGGGAGTCCGAGACGGACGCCGGCATCGTCATCGCGGCCTCGGTGAGTTGTTTGCGTCTTGCCTCAGGCCCTCTCGGCTATCGGCTGTCGTGTTCTGAGGGCGGTGGATGCGACTTATGGTGATTTCGGCGTTACAGCCTCCGCCCATGCAGTGGTCGCTGACCGAAGCCGCGTTGTTGGTGTTGCCCCGACAACAGCGGGTGCCTCGTTTTCGTTGTTCTTGTTGCTGTTGACGGCTGCTGAAGTGATGTGTTGTTGTAGTTGTTGTCGTCGTCGCCATGATTTGTTTTATTGCCACACGACTGCTGTGGGTGCAATCTGGTCTCGTGTACGCCGGAGGCGTGTAGCGGCGCTAAACGCGCGACTAGTGACGAGTGATGGTTTTTCTGTTTCGATCTCGTCGTGCGTTTCGCTGGTGAAGCTACTCGCGTTGTAGTTGGTTATGACAGACGGGGCACCATGGGCACTCATGGTGTTGGTTTGTTCATCATGTTGGTTGTCTCCGTGGCTGTCGGCGCTCTCGCGTGCCGCAATCTTCGACCCACCCGGCGGGGCAGTTCTGGACTGGCCGAAAGTACGCGCTTGTAAGCGTTGTATGTTGAGTTGTTGCGACCGCCTCCCTTCCTGCCGTGCTTCTTTTGCTTGTTCCCGGCGTTGATTCCGGATATGCACATACATCCGCACGCTGCGGCTTTGCGTGGAAAGACGACGTGCATCGTCGCCCCCCCGCCCTCCTTACCGCTCGAATAGTTTAGGTCTTGCGTTGTTGTTGTCCGGCCGGTGATGCTCTGATCCCTTTCTCATCGTCGGTACAAAAGTCGGTTGATTTTCCCGTCCCATCGTCGCGTGCAGACCGCTGAGAAGGAGAAGGCGAGCCAGGGTAGAGTGGTGGCAATCGGAGAGGGGCGGACGGGCAGCACGGGGGAGATAGTGCCGTGCCCGTTCAAGGCCGGAGACAACGTCAAGTTCATGGAGTACGCCCCTGTCGAGATCAAGGTGTGTGACTTTTTTTTTTTAATGTTAATACAAGCAAAAGATGGAGTAACCATTCGAGATACTGTACTACAGCAGTCGAAGAGGATGTGTTCAAGTCTCCACAGGGAGTGAGAAGAAAACCGGCTGGATACTGGGCTTATTCGGGGCCAATTTAAGCCTATATGTCCCTGGGACGCTGAAATTTTATCGGTGGCAGCCGGTTCTCATCGAAGAAACATTTTTTCTCTTTGTTTGGCCCGTGCGTGTTGCGTGTTATGCTTTTTTTTTTTTTGTGGTCATGGGCTGGTGTTCGTGCATCTGTTTTGGTTGTTTCTCGTGTTCGATCGAGAGGTACACATTCGGCGTGCTAAATGTTCGGTGGAACAATAGCGCTGTCGAGAATCACTTTGTTTCGTGTTTCGACATTGTCACACACACACGTCACATTCGTCTTCGTTCGTGTAGTCGCTTTACTATATACGAGAACGTGGTCGGTGTCGCGAACAGTGTGTAACAGAACACCATTGCTACAGGGTTGTGTTCGATCCTAAGTGAGCCCTGCCTTATTTCGTTACCCCACATCTTCCGTACCTGTCCCTTGCGCCCACCCCGTCTATGCATGCCTCGGGGCATCGCCCGTGTGTTCCCGTCTTCGCGTCGCCCTGATCGTATGTGTGTACTGCAGATCAAGGGAAGCTACTACGCCGTGGTGCGGATGGTGGACTGCATCGCGAGATGGGAGGGAGAGTCCATCTGATTGGCGCAGCGGACGCGTATCGTATGGATAGGACTCCGGTTCCGTACCACAACAAACCGGTCCCGTGTAAGCTTGGTTTGCGAATGTCGCGGTTTGAACGGTGCCGGTTGGGAGATGGGGAATTATTTTTGGGCGGCGAAAGGCTGATGAAAGTGCTTGCCAGGAACATTGGAAATTGCAAAAATTGAAGTTGAAGTTACAAGACCACTGTCCGATTGCATGGGCATACATTGATTAACACGCGGCGGCTACCTGCGAAATGCTGGAAAATTGAAGCAAGAGAGGTGAAATGCATCGGGATGCGCGCCACGCCTAAAGTCGTGGTCTTGGTCAATGGTCCTTTGGCGTGTGTGTCCAGCCGCCGTCCTTGGGCGTGTGCTTGGCTGTGTGCCCGATTTGTGTCCTTGGGAGAACAAAAAGCGCCAGATCACCAAGACGACAGGGGAATCCAACGAGACGCCGGGCCTTAATCGGCAGCCAGACATGTGCTGTTATGTTCTTCTGTTTCGTTGCGCCATCCATTGCCCCCTTGGGAGATTGTACAGTTCGTGCCCTGGGTAAATGATCGCCACACACACCACCCTCGTTAAGCGACAGTCCGAAATCCGGAAAATGTTCTTGTATGCGGATCTTTGCACCAACCACGATGCGCCGGTTTTACACAATCGGCACAGCAGTCTGGTCCCAGCAGTCTAACCTCTTGTGCTCTTTGTTTACCCCCTGCATCATTGATCACGTACCAGAGTTTTTGGGATGCCTCCTTCGCCTTTGCTCGAAGTCGTCGCCTCACGTAGCCTGCTTATTTCATACTGCATCTTTCTTTCCGACCCGATCGCCTGTGCCTTACAGTCGACCACCTTGCGAAGATCAGCAATTTTGCGCTTCGTTCGTTCGTTCGTGTGTGTACTGGGCCAAGGCCCGTTTCCACATGATATCCACAATATCCAGTTTGTCGTAGGCCCTTCTTGTAGGTCGGTCCCGTCCAACACAACCTCAAATATAATGGGCCGCAAATTCTCTTCGTCCCAACCATTGAACCCCACATAGCAACCCAATACCGAGTGAGACGCCCAAAAGAAACTCGAGAAGTTTCGGTTCACCTAGCCCATATTAAACGATATTTTGCGAGGAAAACACCTCCTGCGCCCGACTTTGATAAACTCGCTGAGTTCTTTTTAGGGCGACAGATTCCGTTACCCGCTATCGATCACCCTGATGAGGCCCAACCAAGAATTGAGTCTTATGTTGTAGACAAAGTGGTAAGCCACGAAAGTGGTCGGGGTCCGAGGACTCCTTTTAATTACCGATACCGTTTGCGTCTTCGAGGGTATGGCCCGGAGTCAGACCTCGAATACCGCGCAGATGAGGTACCACAATGTCAAGAATGATAGCTGCATACCGAATCCGTTGTGGTTTGGATATCGCGCTTCCTAAAACAACTTCGGTTCGCACCCTCAACAAGCAGGCGGACGAAGCATCACCCTGCCGAACTAGGAAGCGAAGACGCACCGAAGCAAGGAATTGAGCAACAATGCCAGATATAGAGCGCTCACAATTTTATCTGCTGTTGCTCTGCAGCTCAAATTTGTTTAATTTTTATGTAAATTTTTTTTAACGACATGGGGACGAGTTAAACTATCTTTTTCCATGTCCTTGTGACATGGAGATAGTAATGACACGTTAACACTATCTTTTTCCATATCCTTGTGACATGGAGATAGTAATGACACGTTAACACTATCTTTTTCCATATCCTTGTGACATGGAGATAGTAATGACACGCTAACACTATCTTTTTCCATACCCTCGGGACATGGAGATGTGACGGTGAAAGGGGTTTTTGTACATTTTTTGGTACACCCTATATTATTTTTTCAGTGTTGTTGGGAAAACACTGGGGAGGAGAGAGTCTTATGACTTATTGTTGCTGTCAGCTTTGTTCAAGAAACCAACGGAAACCACGCGACGTGTGGATACGTTTTACGGTTTCAACAAGTGAACGACAGATCGATTTCACTGGCCCCCATTTACGTTGTGTCCACTCCTTGGTTCTCGGTTATATCTTGAGTGAGTTTTCGACGAAGATCCATTCAAGTAAAAAAATGGAATCAAGATATTAACACGGTTGGCCACGCGACCAATTTTCCGTGATTGTTTGTCATTTTGCGACATCTTTTTTTTTTTTGCACCATCATCCAGCAAGCGACTGATCCACGCGTGCGATGACGAACAGTGCATGAGTAAAATGAGCTACCAGTTTCCGCGACACATCGGTGAACTGTTTTGTAGCCAAAAAGATTTTTTTTCCCAGGCATGTTACACAGGGGTGCTCATCTTGCAACGCACAAAATTTTTCACCTTTTTTTTTCAGTACAAAAAAAAACACTCCGCAGAAAAATTTTCCGAGAGAATTCCAAAATCGGCAAACTGCGTCATGTTGACGTTAGCCCGAGCCGCTGGCGCCGTCAGGAAAATTACGCCCGATACCACCCGGGCACACTATTGGGGAGCGGTGGCAGCAGTGCGCTTGTGGATTCGTGTGCTGCAGCGGAAGCACGGCAGTGGGTTGTGTGGGCAGGTCTTGCTCTCTCCAAGCACCAGAAAAGTGTGCTCCAGCAGCGGCGGGTGAGGTCGCTGCCAAAATTTTCACCGCCTTGCCCCGAGCACGCCCGCTCGAAAAACCGGCGTCCCTCGCTTCCCAACACCCGTGCGGTCTCAGGAAGGTGTTTGGCGTCGCGTCTCGAGGTCTGTGGCGTAAGCGGTGCTGGGTGCACCTGACCTGTTTGTACTGGGGTCGAGGCGAAACGCGTCGCCTCGGGCGCCTTTCTCACTGACACCAGCAGCAGCCCTTGGACTTCTAGCGCTGTGCCGCTTCAACCGCGGTGCGGACAGTCTTGCCCGTTGACCCTGTGTCCCTGGAGCTCTGGGAAGCCGGCAGCGAGGCCTGGCGTGCTCTGTGGAGGGAGGACTCGAGTTTCTCCTTTGGTGACCTGTTTTGCTGGAGGGCTGGGTTCTTGGGGGCCAACTTGCACTTCGCGTCGGCTGCCGCCGCTGGCCCTAGGTGAGACATAAGGCCCCATCTGCGGCGCTATCGGCCCCCTTACACACCCTGAGAGCCGTGTGCAATAGGATAGGTTCCGCGGTACCTTGTGCATCGAGCACGATTTGGTCCCTCACAGCACCAGAATCGACCATCTGCTGTGGATCCGAAACGGTCGAAGCACCTGGGGTGCCTCTGAACTCTCTGAGAGCCCAAGTCTTTTTTGCCTCCATTTGGTTGCCTCCACCAAACAGCACCAGCCAAAGCGAGGCAACGGCTGAAAAAAACATGCTATTTTTTGTGTAGCCCGTCTCGCCCGCCCTCCGATACACAAAAACAACCATAAAATTCACTGCACTCAAGGACCAAATGTTTTTTTTGGTGCGCCAATATTGCGCTGTGTGCTCTGTTGCTGCTTTTTTCCCTGTGTTTTGTTTTTCATGCCACACAGCAGCATGTACAGCAGTACTTGACTCACTCCACCGGGCGGGTTAAATCACGAAAAACATGCGGATTTTTGTATGGTCCGCCTTGCCTGTCCTCGGACACACGAAAACAACAATAAAATTTCACTCCGCTCAACGGTGGCACTCTTATTTTTGGTTCGGTTACTGTGCTGCCGCGGCTGTGTGCTCCCTTGTTGGTGCTGTTCTCGATGCCTTTTTTTTGCTCTGCTGCACGTCGTGCTTGAAGAACTGTACTGAGCAGCAGTCAACATGATGTACCAAAACAAGCACCAGGATGCTAAAATTGAGTACATTGCGTGCCATCGCGTGCCATCGCAGCCCGTCCGCATGTCTGATGCGTGGCACGTCGCTGCTGTACTTCGTGAAAACAACGATGGAGAAAATACTGCGGAGCACAGCACAAACCCATTCGTTCGTGTTTTTTCTCCCATGTTTGCATTCTGCCTGTTGTCTCCCGTACCTTGCCCTCACCCCCACATATAATATATAAAACACCCCCCCCCCCGGCGCGCGCGCCTCCCGAGAGACGTTGTGCGTTCAGCAGTGTCCCCGATCCCTGACCCTCCTCAAATTTCTACCCTCGCCGCTCGCCGTGGGATGAATGTTGACCTGCAAACATACAGGAGCTTCGGAAGGTTTGCTTAGAGAACGCTCATGACCGCTGTTCGATGTCGTTGGAGCGCATGGAGCCCGGGGCCGCAGCGGGGAGAAAAAATGTGTGGGGGGGTGGGGGGTGCTGCAAGACGGTTGAGACCAGGGGGGCACGATTCGCCACTTCGTGGTGCACGGCAACGTGAGGGGATTGGCGCTGACGGGTGTTGCTTGGAAAGGGCTGTGCTGTTTCTGTCCGCCGTTGTTGTATTGCACACCGAGGTTTCGGTCGTCGAGCAGGGAAAATTTTCATATGTCGCGTCCTTGTGTGCTGACGTTTCGTGCAGAGATTTATGGTCAACAGTATTGTTGTTGGTTTGGACAGTGCTACCGCAAGTCGCAGCTGATTGCTGTGGTCAGGCGGTTGCAACTCTTGGTGTGGTGCTTGACGTCTATCGTTCCGGACCCTTGTGGCCAAGCAAGCAATTTTGGATGGGCATTCTACAGAGGTGGTCCGAAGGGCGATGTAATGCAGTGGTGCATTCGCCGTCTCGTTGTGGATGCTTATTCGCAGTATTGGGTGCGCCCGTTGTCGAACCCTGAAACGCGGAGCGTCAAATCGAAGGTGCGCAAGCATCGAGAAAAAAAACGCCTAGCGAGAGATGGAGAGAGCGCAGCACCTCGTGTGCGTGCGCGTGCGTGTGCACTCATGTCATGTGTTTTTCCACAGGGGTGATCCCCGAGGGGTAACGTTTTTTTATCAACTGTTCGTCGCCAGGGGCCCTCTTTGGCCCCAGGGGCAACACAACACCGTCCACCAAAAAAACGACACCCACCAACCGCTCCCGACAATAACGGCAAAACAAACACAGCTGCCACATGCACACCAATCACGACCTGGTACCTTGGGCGCTCGAACAAAACAGCGAACAAAACATTTTGAACAGAAACCTCGCACACCAGAAGGTGGACTGATACGAAAAGCCCGCCCCATGTGTGCAAACCCAGAAGGCGGCAGAATCTACCCAACAACGTTGCACCAAAGCTCGTCGGCAAAAACAGAAGAGTAAAACGTACTCGTGCGCAATAACATCAATCCCGTCAGCGCCAATCCCCTCACGTTGCCGTGCACCACGAAGTGGCGAATCGTGCCCCCCTGGTCTCAACCGTCTTGCAGCACCCCCCACCCCTCCACACATTTTTTCTCCCCGCTGCGGCCCCGGGCTCCATGCGCTCCAACGACATCGAACAGCGGTCATGAGCGTTCTCTAAGCAAACCTTCCGAAGCTC